AAATAGATCGCGTAGATCTTGAAACGATCGCAGGAAACCTGCGAACGGCCGGGGGGTCCAAGACCCACTACCTACGGTAGCGGGAAAAGTGAAATTGACATGGATATGGGTGTATTTACATTGAGTGACATTGGCCAGGTAGGAAGAGCCCAGATCTGTAGGTGTCTGTAGGCATAATAGGCAAGCTAGATAACAGTGTAGGTAACTATAGGATGACCTTCTTTATAATCCTCCATAAAATGATTCATCAAGTCACAGAATAATCATGTGGGATCACCATTAGCATACTATGTCAAGACAGCGCATCTGGTAAAACATGACAAAATCAATCCAGCTATTGAGGTAGAAGGTCTTGCACTTCTCCAGCACATTCTCATATGACCACTCCTTACTCACTGAAGTACCAAATTTAGGGATTAGATGACAACTCCGGAAGATGTCATCCAGGGGAATAATTTGAGCGTTTGGTCGGCCATTCCTTGTACTGCGGGAGACAGAGTAGAGATGAAGGTCTTGATCTTGCAAACGGAATGGGGTAAACCATTCAATATAGGCGAGGTACTGAGAATGTTGTGGATGACTCCGCAGGTATGGTGGAAGTGCAAATATTACCCGCACTTGGGCTACTTGGAGACCTAGTAACAGTCAGCATCAGTTCCACCTGAGATAAGAGGGGAACTGAGAACATTACCTCTGAGTCCAGTACAAGAAATATAATCATTCCTATCCTCCACCTTCACCAAGACTGTATCAAAGTGATCAGGTCCAGAACTCTTTCTCTGATTGGAAAGACTAGCAGGCATGGCTCGGATCCTATCCAAGCGTGGCTTGAGTTCCAAAATTGGGACTTGAGGAAGGCGGATCTTGACCTGCTTGTATACATCAAATCTATCATATTCATTAGGCAACATCACCTTCCCAGCCATGCCAGGTGGGCAAGTCTCTTGAAGATAATTGGACAAAGCAGGAAGGAAGTCTGTTGCATGGTGATTCAGAATGATATCTCGAACCTTTGAAGCTGGGAATGCTGGATGTTGTGCAAGCAGACACCTATCTGAGGGTACCTCTGGTTGCTTGCTAATATGTACACCGGAGTCTTCCTCTTCATCGTCACCTGCATCACTATCTTCATCATCATAATCCCAGTCTTCATCCCCTTCAACAGCATCCAAATCAGATGAGACATGGAGCCAGGCCAAGTAGGAATTGAACCGCTCCACAGACTCTTGTCTCTCAAGCCACCTTGCCATCTGCTCCACATAACCACGCTTGTTACTTGCACGGTAAGCATCCTTAGCATAATCAATGTGAAGTCGTTCAGGAAGTTCAGTGTTGAAGCCATCAGCTGACCCTCGTGAGCAAATGGAGTCAATGTAATGCTGCATAGCATGCAGCTTTGGAATATTGAAGTGGCCCCTAGCCCCCAGAGTGATGAAGATCTCTTTATTATCGTGAAATTCGTGGAGTGCAGCTTGCAAAGCATCCGATGTATCTGAGGTGTGGGTTTGAAATTGAGCATAATAAATGAAATCCAGAGCAGCCCGAGCAGCTTTTGCAGCAGTAGGATTAACAGCACCAGATAGTAGTCCTGCGAAGACTTTGTCCATCTCCTTGAACTCAGTACCAGTCCATTGAGAGACTAGAGAAATGCCATTCTTGAAGTGGCGTAAACCAGGATGATCAGTCATGCAGCGGAAACGATTATCAATTTCATCTTTATCAGAGATATTGAAGCACCAGTCTACCAGATGGTCCTTGAAGACCCCTTTGTGCAATTGGTGCAGAATATCAGGAGTGAGAGCAGTGAAGATGTCGGTATGAGGTAATTCCATCCAGAATGGCTTGGCCACTGAACGCAGACCCTCAGTCTTGAAAGCTTGAACTCGTTGCCCAGTTGAATGCTGCTCCAAGATGACTTTTGTACGCTCAGGATCCCGGTATATGGTCTCTAGAAGGCTTCCAGAGTCTTCCCATGCAACTCGGCACTGGGGACAGCGGTTCTCCTTGCAACAGGCAACTAAGCAACGTTCTGGATGGTCTGCCACATAGGCAGCTAAGATGGGGAAGACATGACGGATAAATCCATCAGCACAGGTCATGTCAACACCTTCTCGACCTGCAGCAATGAGTGGAGAGAGTAATATCGACATGCAGTAATGGAAGAGGCGATAACCTGCTACTGATCGAGCACGCTCAGTGAAGCAGTCAAGCTTGCTCACAGGAAGGTAGCCAATGAGTACCATAGCCTTTGAGGATGGTTGACGCCGGGTTTCCTTCTGTAGGTTGCCAATAGTAAGGTAGACAGGCCAGGCAGACTTGTCACCACGGAAATTAGATAGCTTTGTCTTATCAGATGAGATGATGACAGGTGCAACAGTAGCCCCCTTCGGTAGGCGGTCCTACATGATATCATTAACTATCTCTACATGCAACAGGACAAGTGGGCTATCTATACCTGGATATCCCACCACCAATCAGCTGTCCACATCTCATCATACACGCGGACACGAGAGGCATCGTCACGGTAGACACGCTCGGGCACATACGCAAGGTTATCACGGAAGGCAGGATTTCCAATCAGCTCCTGAATACAATCCACAGGGTCCCGGCGCCACAGTTCCAGTTCCTCCTCCATGATCTTACCGTCATCATTGAGACGGTCACCCCCAACTGTGATGATATCTCGGTGCCACTTGGCACCCCGTGTAGGAATACCATCAATCTTCTGGAGGAACGAACGTGTATTCTTATAAGAGGGACAAGCACGTTCCGAAATCTAAAGACATGTCAGTCAGGGTGATGGGAACCAGCGACAGGCACACTCACCATACGTAGTTTCAGAAACTCCTCGGTCTGGTTCTTCCCAACATTGCGGATGAGCCACTCGCTGAGGCGCCAATCATCTTCATCATCAAATGGCGCCCACGGACTCACCCCAGCGGCCTCCTGCTCGTCACGGACTCGCTCAAACTGTGTCTTGCCGGGACATATCGGAGACCCAGCAGCGCGGGGGTAATCCTCGACAAAGCGCTCGAAAGTCTTCGATACAGGATCGTCATCGATTAGATATGATCGATCTGTTGATGCAGGCGAGTGCGATGCGGCGGGAACAGGTGACGGTGCAACACCCGGAGCGGGGGATGAGGCAGGTAAGTTGGTCTGTCCAGGATCGAGGATGTTGACAGCTTCAGGTAGCTCAGGATGGTCTTGGGGATCATCAGAATCAGTGTCGAGGTCAGCTTCCTCAGAGACAGAGACAGAGAACTTCCGCAGCCGCGCCTGCCACTGAGACCGACAGACGCGCTGGATGTGCATCTTGAGCCCAGCGGGAGTCGGCAGGAAGCGCCCACAGAAGTTACAGGTCGGCATAATGTCTATAGCGGCGGCGAGTTCAAGCAGACAGCACGGAGAGACTTGGACAGCTGGGAGACTTGGAATCGAACAGGGATAGCATACCATCTACCCTCGCGAAACTGCCCCCTGTTCGATCCATCAGCTACTCGAGGGACGGCACAACGCGGTTGGTGCGGCGTGCACCGCCAGGGAACGAGAAGGAGAATACAGGGACTGGGCACAACTCGACGAAAGTAAGTGCTTATGCTATTCTTTATAAGCTCCTGAGACCCATGCTAACTTCCGATACTGAAGCAACTGGTGCGACGTACGACATCCATCCCACCCGTCCGCCCACTCCTAGGAGTTGACATCAACAGTCCCTCCCATCCACGCTTCCACATGCATGACCTCGAGGCAGAGCAACCGTCCCGCTCGCGTACTCCGGTTGTGGGTGATGATCAACCTAACGACTCGCCTGGGGGTCCAA